TTTGTCCAAATACTTATGAGCCCTTAAAGTCGGGGGACTGTGTGAAGAAATGGTTGTAATTCCTACACGGTTCATACTACATTTTTGAAAAAAGCCTTAAATGAAAGCTGAGAGTCTGCACTTTAAGCAGGTATTCATTGTTTCATTTAAAACCCATTGTGGTGGTGTACAGAGCCAAAATGACGACAACTGTATCATTGTCCAAATAATTATGGACCTGACTGTATATATATACACTGTAAATGTGTGTGTGTGTGTATGTATTAATTTACATTTATGTAACCAGTGGACTCTATTGATGTCTGCGTTGTGTAGATATAAAAAGGCCCAGACTGTGGATATATTTGGAGGCGATCTCTGTTTATTCCTAACAACAGGTGGAAAAAACGAAAATCCTCCATCATAAACAACATGCAAACTCCAGCCACTACACAAATTAAGCGAGACAAAGTGTAAGCATGAAATGGACCTATGAACAGATAACAGTGGTAAAACACAGAAATTACTGTAAGAGCAATGTGGCTTACCTCTCCCACGGAGCACAACAGCAAAAGGGGAGAGGTAAAGAGGGAGACACCCCTTTATAGGTGGGGTACCCCCAAAGTTGAACACAGGGGTACAGAAACTGGTTATCAACGCTGCAAATATTGAGTGCTGAGGCCTAAGCATGTCAAGTAATAACAACTGAAACAAATGTAGATTCAACTGCGTTACACATATTCGTGCTGTATAAATGACCTTGTTACATTCATATGTATATTGTACATGAATGGCTGTTACAGCAGCTGTTTAGTCAGTTTCATTTTGTAATTTGACATTATTCAAAATGCCACCACTTTACTTGTATTTTCTTTGAGCTCTGTAACCAATCCATCTCATCTTCTGTGCTCAGCATCCAAGCCTCCCACCCTCATCCTACATCTGACCTGTTTCACTGGTAAAGGTGAAGCATACCGAGGCACCACTGCTGTAACTGAATCTGGCAAAACATGCCAGAGCTGGTCGGCTCAGACACCACACCAACACGACCGCACACCACACAATAATCCCGGAAAGTAAGAGCTACTGTAACTGAAAAATGTTGTTCTTGATAAAAGAGGGACCTATGGCATGTTTCCTTGATTTTGGGTTTGCCTGTGTTTATCATTATTACTGTCTGTTGTTTGTCAGAGGCCTGGTTAGCAACTACTGTCGTAACCCTGACAATGAGGGGAGTCCCTGGTGTTACACTACTGACCCTGATAGCCGCTGGGAGTACTGTGATGTGCCGAGCTGTGAGGATGCAGCCAGACCAGGTATAACAGTAATCAATGGTGTTGATTTCTCACCACTGTCATTCATATCTATTTACTGTATAGGCTATGTACGTGTGAGTGTGTGTGTGTGTGTGTATGTGTGTCTATAAATATA